CATTTTATTCACTAGTTGATAATTTATGTATTAGATTTATAGTATTTTATTATACTCATTATAGTATAGGGTATTAACTTTTTGAAATATTGTCATACTTCATGTTAGTCTTACTGCATCATGGAGTTGGGGTTCTGAAAGGTTGCCATGTCCCAGAAAGATGAAAGTGGAAGCAGAGGCAGAGATATGTAGCTGCATGGGATCAGGCCATGTAGGGGGTCTTGGAAGCTTACTGTTATACAGTTGAACTTTGAAAAGAATGTTGCTCATCAGAATTCTGGATTTATCCTTGTGTTAAAAACATTAGAAATCATTAATTAGTAATTTTATATTTGAGAATTCAAGTCACGACTCTGTTGTTTAATAATTATGAGAAATTATTGGGGAAAAAAGAGACCTAGATGATACTTTCGATCCTATACTTAATTGCTTACCTTTGACTTAGAATCAAGACCTCATGATGGGGCCTCCCTGGAAATAAAGGAATTCTTAGTGCTGTCTGCTTTTGGTCTTCTTGACAATCTAAGAAAAAAGGTTTTTCTTCTAAATCTGAACTAATCATCATTGTCCTCATCCCTTGAGGATTATGGCCCTTTATTTCTGCCCTGTCCCAGTCCCTTTTGAATATTAGTGCAGCTTTCTGCTCTGAAATCCATCCCATTTCTGTCCATGTATTCATTATTTTCTATTCCTGTTGCTCTTACCTTCACCCCTGATAATTTTCACTGTTATGAAGATATCATTTCTTTATATCTAAATTTTCATTTAACTAATCTCTTCCCAGCCAAATATTTGCTAAGCATATTTTTATTATTTCTAACCTTTCATGTTTTACAATTTATGCCTTTTTCCCTAAAGGATAACTCATAGCAAAATAGTATAACTCACTGTCAATCATCTCATTTCCTGACTTCTAATTTTTGACAGTATCAAGTACAATGCTTGGTATATAAATGCTCAAAAGTTTGTTGACTGAATGATTGAATTAATAATTTATAGATTCCATCTTGTTAACAATGCTTATCACTACTAATGCCTAGAAATCTAGGCATTTATTTTACTACAGTGATTTCTTTAAATGAACAGTCACAGAGAACATGGTTGTTCTCTTTTCTTTTTAATATTTCTCCATCACAATATACTATATCCTTCACTTTCCTATAATATTATGTAGTAGAAAAATAACAAATATGAAAAAGAAAGTTAAAGCGAAGTAAAATACAAGTTACCAGTTTTAAAAAATTATCTCAATGTGAATTTTTCATATTATAGCTATAAAAGTTTCTATGTCATAACATTTCCCCTACTTGGAAAAAAGCATTTGTGTTTTCATCAGGAAATTCATTTTATTATTTTAAAGACTTAATTGTTTTATTGGTATGCCACAGAAACTAAAATATAAGAAACCAAGTATTAGTATATGGTTCTGAATTTTTTCCAAAGCAGTTTTAAATTTAATTCTGTAAAATTAGTGTGCATCCCTGTTACACCCAGTGCCTATGGAAGTAAGACTCTTTTGCTATTAAAAATATGAAAGTCTCAAAATTATTTTAAGCCATAATGCATTTAAATTTTAACTGAAACTCAAGAAACTAGACCCTTCAGTACTAGATAGAGCACTCATATCTTCTCTTTGAGAAACAGGCAAATGAAAACAAAAACATTCTAATATCAGCTATTTGGTCAAAGTGGAAAATTTTGAGAAAATTTCTAGTGAAATTTATACAAATACCCATTTTCCTTACTACCGGAATCTCTAGCACTGCTCAGATGTATGGTTCAAAGGCATTTGCCAATTTTTTATCTTTTAAAGTAGAGAGAGACAGAAAATGAATCCATTAACCTAAGAATCTTTCATTCAAAACAAACAAAAAAGTATATATAAACAAAGGTTATTTATTGGATAGATCTTAAGTTAGAGAATGAAATTCACTCTACTACGTCTTTCCCTGAATATTTTGGCTAATCAAAGTTTTAATGTAACTTTTACCATATATTTCTTCCAAAAATTGTGCTTTTATGGCTGCAAATCTATTTTAATGTTAAATAAATCAAATATACTTTTAAAATTTTTAACAGTAGGAATACTTTCTTAAAAAATGGAAAATTATTTTATCATCATACCTGTTGAGTTTGCTTTAGTTTTCAAGGGTTGCTGAATTTGAAAATCCCGTAAATGAATCAGAAATTCCTAAATTCTTTAACTGAGTCTCTTAAAAATCCACAGTAACTGTATGTCCAAACAGGGCTGTCTCTTGAATTACTGTAGCAATTTAAGCAAATATAATCTGCCTGGAAAACACTTGGGTTGAATTAAAATCATGTATTTCTTTTCATTATCCAAAACTTTGTGGATTCAAATTAAGATGCTTGTGTTCTTGGTCATATTTATGTGGCTTACTTCTTTCTTTTCCTCTTGAATTTGGTTTGAGGTGTGGCAAGAATTTCCTCTAATATGAAAGGCAAACAAAACTAAATTAAACAGCATGTACTGATTACTGTTTTTATCTTCATTTTCATGCCAAAGAATTCCTCAAATTAAGGTCCACTGTAACATGGAGCTCAGTGTCTCAGCAATTTAAGGTGGAACTCACAGTCATCTTGAGACTTTAGTTGTCTGAAACTTGTATTCACACCAATGCTTCCGAACTTCATTAAGACAAGGATCTAGGATTAAAAACATAAAATGTTCTGCATCTGGTTTATTTTTTAAATGAAATAGATTGTCATTGGTTACACAGATTAAATATATCACTTTTCCATACAAAGAATTATACCTCTTTTCTATCAGCTATCCCCTTTCTTACCTTCCTCCCAAATATACCCACTAGAATGGCTTCTAATAGCCTTTGAAATAAAAATTAATCTCTTGGTTATAGAATTCAGTGTCTTGTCTTCAGAAGGTAAATCTCTTATTTGTCTGTTTTTGTTATACAAAAAAAATTTTATAGTTTTAAATAAAATGGAATTAGGAACTTCTGCTGACCAGTTACTATTGCCTTTATTTTGCAGATGTAGAAAATTTCCTGATTTCACTGAGCTGTCTCTCCTGAAGAGTAGCAATTAACTGTTTAAATACTATATTTTAATACTAATGTTTTCATATTTTAAACAGAAAGTTAACTTGTATCTCTTGGCAGTGAACTTTGAATTAATTCTTTCCGAGATTGTTTCAAGCTTGTGCAAACTAATAAGGTAAAATGAATCTTGGAGTTTGTTTTTATTTCTTCAAAATAGTGTTTTCCATTAAGTTTTTACAAAGAACTCACAAGATTTATTTTGTTATACTTCAGATTTTTAAAAAATGTAATGTTTTAAGTCATGCTTTGACAATATTGAAAAATGTCTCATCTGTTGTTTGACACACTACTATGTAAAACGTGGCAGGTCATATTTGGGCCAAGATTTCATCTTGTTACTGATCTTTTCCATATGTTTCCTATTAGTCTTTGTTCTTAAACCTCAGGCTTTCCACAGTAAGGAAAAGAGAGCAAATCTGTATACTTTTTCCAAAAATTATTTTACATACCCTCAATTCTTTTGGAAGATTAATTTAAAATCAGCAGCTTAATTTTTATATGATTCCTCAGTTAACTCTGTGATTTGAACTTATGATAGTCATTATGTTGTTCGTGTTCCTAACAAATGTGAAAAGAATATTTATTAACAGATAGCTCAAACACACAGAATGAAAAATGTGTAGGAAATTTAAGTGAGATTGACAGTGTCCAGGAGGTTTGGGTTTGGGGGTGGGGGCTGGGATTGGGGGGATTGGAGGCGTGGTTCGATCAGGCCTTAGAGGAAAAGTAGAAACTGTGATTGTGATAATTCAGTTTTAGTTAGGTGGTTATAAATGAAGCAATTGAGGAGAAAAGTCAGTTGAATTGGTGAAAAGTCTAAATTATATTCTATGATTATAATTTGATTGAACTAGGTATGGTATCTCAAGGCTAAATAATGTATTGCTGACCTGACTGAGACCTGCTTAATTATGGTCATAAGCATAAAGATTATTCATTCGTTTATTCATTCAGCTAATTACAAAAAAAAAAATTATATATATTTTTTCAATTATAGTTGACATACAATATTATATTAGTTTCAGGTGTACAGCACAGTGAATAGACATTTATATAACTTATGAAGTAATCACCCCAGTAAATCCATTATCCATCTGATACCATACATAGTTATTACAATGCTACTGAGTATATTCCCCATACTATATTCTACATCTCAATGACTATTTTGTAACTACCAATGTGTACCTCTTAATCCTCTTCCCCCTTCACCCATCTGCCCCTACCTCCCAATCTGACAACCATCAAAATGCTCTCTGTATCTATGAGCTTGTTTCTCTTGTTTTTTTAACCTGTTCTGTAAATTCCACATATGACATTTGTCTTTCTCTGCCCGACTTACTCCACTGAACACAATACCCTCCAGATCTATCCATGATGTTGCAGACGGTGAGATTTCATTCTTTTTTTAAGCTAAGTAATATTCCATTGTATATATATACCACCTCTTCTTTATCCATTCATCCACTGATGGATACTCAAGTTATTTCATATCTTGGCTACTAAAAATAAGGCTGCAATGATCATATAGATGCACATGTCCCTTCAAAGTACCATTTTGGGTTTTTTTTTTTTTTTGGATAAATACCCAGAAGTGCGGTAACTGGGTCCTTCTTCGTCTCTTGTTATAGCCTTTGTTTTAAAGTTTATTTTGTATGGTATAAGTATTACTACCGTAGATTTTTGTTAGGTTGTTTCCATTTTCATGAAACCTCTTTTTT